GTCTGCAGGTGCCCACCCTGGGCCTGTGTGCTATAAAAAAGGTAATTATCACACTGGGTCCAGAGTCTGCAGGTGCCCACCCTGGGCCTGTGTGCTATAAAAAAGGTAATTATCACACTGGGTCCAGAGTCTGCAGGTGCCCACCCTGGGCCTGTGTGCTATAAAAAAGGTAACTATCACATTATCACAAAAAAGTAATAACTAATATCACCATAGATTGCTAGATCTAAAATTGGCATTAATTTGTGAAAACATTTTGTTAACTTTAACTTAAAATTGCTTACTTAGACCCCATTTCCAGACATTAGATCGATCTACTTTAGATCGACCTAACTCCCTGGGAATTCACGCTAAATAGCTGTCAGCTGGGTGGACACGAAAGTTAATTACCCCCTTACAGCTTGTAGTAGGCGGGACGGACATTTAAGCCAGATTATCTGACAGTAATCTAGCGAGACTCCCTGCGGGGATAGATCGATTTAAAAGCTCTGGGAATACAGCCTTATAGTCCACTTTAATGAAAAATTATTACTATTATTCAAGCATCTGAATACACATTCCTATTACAGGTGGACCCCTGACAATCACTGATGCCAACCTTTGTCTGGGAAGACTTCTGCCTGATTTCTTCCCTAAAATATTTGGTGACTCAGAAAACGACCCCTTGGACACAAAGGCCTCAGTTAAAGCATTCACAAAGCTGACCAAAGAGGTAAACTCCGTCATGGCTTATAAATATATATACGTATCATGCATTCTCTTCAATGTCAAACCTAAAACACTATGTCAGCAACAGAAATTAATTCTAATATGGTCTTAAGAGTTTGAGTCTCTTTCCTAGATACTTTCTTATAAGTGATTTAATTTTGCAGCTGACATTTACATATAAAACAGATGATGTAAACATTTAGAAAATTTATACTTTGAGGTCCTTTTTTTTTTGCACCTGAATTATTTTCTTACTTACATCTCTGTATTATAATTTTGCAATTTATTTTCTGCAGTTACTCATGTAATACTGATTGCTATAGTTAACAAGACATGGTATGATTTGATTTCTATGATACATTATTTATTCTATTTTTAAGAGTTGAAGTTGTATTGTGTTGATCTAATGGCAAATTTATTTTTCAGGTAAATAAATACTTACTCAGCAATCCAGATAACGCACACAACAAAGCCATGAGCATCGAGGAGGTTGCCATGGGATTTCTCCGAGTTGCCAACGAAGCCATGTGTCGGCCAATCAGGGCTTTGACTGAGGTAGGAAACATGTTGTAAACTGTATGAAAAAGAATAGTCAAAGTAAAATGGTTTCTTAAATATACAGAAAAGTTTTTTATTAAATAAAGAAGGCCCAGCTAAGAAGTGATGAGGGATTAAAAGTAATGTGGTTTTCTTATTTGTTCCTTTATCTTGGGTTGAAATCCAAAAACGTATGATGTAGCATTCTTATTTTGCAGTTTAGATCAATCTCCACTTCTTGTATTGAACATTTTATGAAGAATTTTATATTTTACATTCTACTGTTCTGCAGGACAACTCTCCTTGTTTGCTGTGGCATTTGATTGAAATATTTTACCCTCTTTCAGGCCAGAGGTTACGACACATCTCGTCACGTCCTGGCATGTTTTGGTGGTGCGGGCGGCCAGCATGCATGTTCCATAGCACGGTCACTGGGGATGAAGACTGTATTTGTACATAGGTCTGACATTTTTTTAAATTTGTTTTCCTGTATTGGTGCAGGATCATATAAAAATGAGTCAGAGTAAAATGTATAGAACAGGGGATTTAAAACTGAATGTAAAACTAAATGCCAGACATGACATTCATGTGAAGTAACAAAACATTTTTAGAGAATACTATATATTTGTGTATCTATTGTTTTAGATATGCCGGTATATTGTCAGCCTATGGCATGGCTCTGGCAGATGTGGTACATGAAGCACAAGAGCCTTGCGCTGCCACCTATGGTAAAGGTAAGTAACAATGGTGATGACATGTATTATTACCAGGTAAACACTGGCAAACTCTTGCTTTTGCAAAATTATATTTATCTGACAGTTTTGTAATATAGGCAGAAAAATCTGACCAATTTATTTTGATAATAATTAAAATTTTCTTTCTCGTATAATAAAATCTTCAGTGAGATATTATCACAATGACTGTAGCTTTTAATGTAGACTATCTAATTTCCAGTATTTTATTATTAAGGAGCAGCATTATTACTACAAATAGATTCAAGGCTGTTCTTTTTTCTCTCTCTTAGATTCTTTCTCAAGGATTGATGAGCGCATTGATGAGTTGAAGAAGGACTGCTTTCAACAGTTGCATGAACAGGGATTTAAGAAGTATGTCACGCAAGACATTTCATATTATGATAATCTGTCACAATCACAGTGAATGTTTATAACTATCATATGGAAATTCTTTTATAAGTTTTGTGGATTTTTGTGTGGCATTTTGTCAAACTAAAAGATTAAATTAAGATAACCATTTTAATATGATTTGATGAATGAGTTGACTGTAAAGAATATAGATTGATATCCTTAGAAACCATTTTTGAAAGGATTATTTCAATATAAGACAACTGTAATAATCTCATAATTCAATAGATCAATAATAATAATAATAACAGTAACAATAATAACAATAATAGCAAATGAATACAATAAAATTTTTAAAAATATTTTTTTAAAAATAGAATAAATGTTTAGTTGAATTTGTAGTGCACTCTGATCAAATATTACATCCCCCCCAGGGACCAGATTCACCTGGAGCCCTATCTCCATCTGCGCTACAAAGGTACAGACTGTGCCCTCATGTGCCCTGGGAGAGGCAACCCAGCTACAGGAGACTCCTCCAAACATGGGGACTTCAGGGCCTCCTTCCTGGACAGGTAAGGGACTGCCTAAATACCAGACTGACTGACTGTGAAAGTAGGTAAGTGTACCCTGAGTTTCATAGGTCACTCAAACCTGTGCTGTACTGGTAGTCATGTTGCAAACAGAGGTGTGCTAATAATAGTTTATATCAAGTGACCTCTGAATCTCAGGGTGAATGAGGATCTGCGTCATTGATAGATATTTTAAATGGATATCAGGATGATATACCAGGTAAATGTAGTAGGCAACGAGTGAAGTAAAACAAACTCTTATTTTATTTATTAAGGGCTCAGTTGATAAAGTTGTAGGATTTAGTTAATAGAATGTCAACAAGATTGTAATATATAAAAAGATATATAAGCCATGGTTTTAGAATTGTTGAAAATTTTTATATTGAAGCTTCTCTTTGGCAGACAATAAACACAAAACAGCAATCATAAGTTTGCCTAATATAACAAAAATTTAATTTTAGATACCAGAGGGAGTTTGGATTTACCATCCCAGAGAGAGATATTATAGTAGATGACATCAGAGTGAGAGGGGTAGGGTCTACTGGAGTCTTAGATCAGCCAGACATCCCACATGCTACTGGGGAACCAGTCAGTAAAACTGTGAGTTTGGGGAACCAGTCAGAGAGCTGTACTCCTTTGACACCACTTTTACACACTTAGTATATTTATATAGAAAATGGGAGCTCTTGTTTAATAAATACAAAAATTGAGACAGGTTATATTTTTATCTCTGAGTCAGAAATATTCACAAGTACTAGTATCAAATGCCACTTGTTTAAATAATTAAATGGCGTTATAGGTGGTGACATTTTTCCAACCTTCTTTATCAAGGGTATTTCTTGCTAACATAGTAGTCAATTCACATTTATGCATCATTTCCAGAAAACCAAATGCTACTTTGAAGATGGCTACCTGGAAACAAGTGTCTATCTACTGGAAGAATTACAGGCAGGGCACAAGATTCATGGGCCTGCTATCATTATGAATGGGAACAGGTATCATATTTATTGAATTTTTTGGACTTTTATTAAGATTTAAGGAGGTTTTAACAATACACCTGTGTAATTGTTAACAGAAAGCCAGATAATAGACCAGTAATTTGATTTAGCAGTATGTACCTTAGAAAATTGCTTTCATCTGTAAGCGTCACTGACAAATAGCTTTTACATAGAATACTTCATATACTAATACAATTTTTTTTTCTGAAAATCTGAAAAAAAAAAAAAAAAAAAAACTGGCTAAATGTAAAAGTGCTTGTCAATAAAAAGAAAAACAAAATAAATCCCAACTATTAAAATTATACTAATAACACACATGAGACAAGTTGAACATTTTGGATACATACTAGGATTAGTGCATGTTTTGTTGTGAATAAATATAATAAATAAAATAAATAAAATACACAGATGCCTATTCCTTATTTAATAAACTCATTTCAGCACTATTCTCATTGAGCCAGCCTGTGAAGCTGTCATAACTAGACATGGGGATGTGAAGATACATGTAAGTACCTGACAGTCTCAAGGGGGAAGGGGGGGGGGAATGAGTCTGTTACATCAGCACTGGTGCTTTGCCAAATACCACTTTTAAGGCCGGTGATAGGGTTAAATACGCTTAAAATCATGTTTTTGAGTTTTTTGTGTGTTTATATTAATCAAAAAAGTATCTAACATTGGATGTAATAATTTTTATGAATTTGCATCGCAAAATGTGTCTTTTGATGAGTTTTTCAACTGGCACGAGCCCCAGTCAGGCTGACGACTAAGCCACGCCTCTGTTACTAAGGGCCGTTGCCATGAGGGGGTCGGAGCACAGTTAATGAGTTATAAGCCGATTACGTGTGCGGTAATAGGTCATAAGTCTTACATCAGCTTAACAGCGAAGAAGTCTAGCTAGTACACTATGGGGAAGAGAAA